CGGAAGAAAGCGGGGATAAGCGAAAGGAGCCAAGCAGAAAAACGCCTATTCGCGATTTACTTCATCTTCCGATTCCCCCGTGTGAAAAAAAAACTCATTTCAACTAGTTTCCGCGATCGAATGAAAAGCCTGACTCCCCTGACAAGAGCGTGTCAATCGGATAACGGGAGGACCGATTATTTAATAAGCATCGACGCATCCGCCTCTTGCCGGGGACGCTCGTTCGAGCCGCAGCTTGCGGTTCATTGGGAATCAGAAGTGAGGATGAAGCCACGCGTCACACAGCGAACTCTGTTCCACCTTCTTCCCTCCGGTCATTTTGCTCGCCTGGCGGCGACCGAGGCGAAAACAGTACCGTGGCCGTACCGAGACCCGAGCAGAATTTCCCATAGAAATGGAACACGAGGGCAAACGAAGAGGGTAACGGGAAGAATTCACTCGGAATGGGCCGCCGAGGAGGCTCAGATGGCTTCGATGGGTCACGTCGTCTACGGCGTCCGATTCCATGCTTTGAGCACCTAGTGTTTTTTTTCGGCTGATTCCACTCGTGAGGAGTTCGGTATTCTCCTGCAGGCGGTCTTCTGCAATCAGAGAAGTTCTCGGGACTGATCCGCTCCCTCAAATCAATGCAGATGATAGAATCTACCCAGACGGGAATGATAGCATCACCGACGACTCAACCCAAGGGGCCGAGCTAGGTCGAGGTTGTTCTGCTCACTGGACCAAGAATCTCAGCCCGATTGAAAGTATCCTTGGCGACAGTCGGCGGTCAGACATGTTTAGAGCCCTCGTAAAGGCGTTCGAGTAGGATCCCCCGTATTTCTTCCACGTATAGGAGTTCCCTGGCAGCGACGTGGGACTGCTCATACATCTCTTCCGTCGTAATTACGCGTCTTATGCCGCATCTGAGGGCTCCGTGGGGCTCCACGTCCTCTCTGCGGAGCTTCCGGAGACGGCGAACGATGAAAATTTTCGCTCTCACCGAAGACAAAAGGTGGAGTCGAAGAATCTTCAGAATTCATATCAGTTTCCCAGCGGGATTCCATTCGAGGAGAGGGAATCTCGACAAATATCGTAGTGATGATCAATCGATCAGGCATTCCTCAAATCGTGGGGCTAAGCTCAGTGAGGGAAAACCCAGCTGGGAGACCTCGGGAAACGGCTCGGATCATGCTCTCGATACCCTATCTCTTATCGGATAGGCTCCGGTCGAGGCTGCGGCAGGCCGTCGCGGCGAGACGTCGACGATGTAGATAGCGGCGCGGCGTGGATGCGAAGGGCGCCCGTTCCACTAGTGGGCTCCTACCTCGAGGAGTGAGGCGACCGCCGTCGCGCACATGGGCGAGCAATTTCCGTTTGACGCCTCTTACATCCGGTTCGTTCGGGAGCTCTGTTCGCTCACAGTGCCTCAAGCGACTGGCTGAGCGGCAGGCGGCGATCGGTCGCTCTTGGCTCGGTGCTACCGGTCAGCCGCGACCGAATCGGCTGCCACGGCTGCCCGAACTCGCGACAGGCCATCGCGCGAACGGAACAGAGCTGAACACGTAAATCGAGTGCGGCCATCGTAAGAGTACGATGGATGTTTGCTCCGCGAGGCTGATGCCCTATGATTCCCGATAGCGACTCGACGTGCATTCATACATAGGTCGCAGTGACTTCCTTACATGCACGTCCCATCAAGCGATCAGGATTGCTGTTCTCGTCTGGAGTATTGGTCCTACATGTTTGGCTAGGTAAGGAATGACAAGGCACTCGTTCAGTCCTCGCAGCCGTTAATTTGCCAATAGGGAGGAATTCTTATGCCTCGCTCGAGCAGCCGTTTTCGGTCTGACAAGCCTCCATAACCCACGTTTATACGGAACGATCAGTCGGTCGCCCAACGGACACCATTTCTTGATCAAAGGAGCCAGGCGTTCGGCCAGCAGACCTCGGGAGCCCAGCGCGTCGGATAGCCATTCGTGGTGACGTCCTTCATCTGCTGCGACACGGATACAAGCGAGGACCTTCGCTTGATTCCAGCTCCGTGACCACCGGATGGATACCGAAAGACACACCGTAATCTCAAGCAACAGGATTTGTCCGGTCGCGTACGGTTACCTTGCGGGATCGTGACGAGTCTACCTCGTCGATCGCTCCCACGTCGCTTCTCTCATAATTAGCTGGTCAGGGAAATGAGAGGCTACCAATGACGGAACACGTTTCAGCAGTGGATTCTCTCTTCGAGAAGCCGTCGCGCCGAGCAGCAAAATATGAGCTTGGGAACCCGGTGCGAGCGTTCGTGCATATCTTGATTGATTGCTTGTCCCGGTATGGAGTGCTCCGATCCTCCTCCTCTTCCAGAAGCTCGTAATATTCTTCTCCCTGCGCTCGCTGTGGAAGAGGCCAATTCCGGGAGCTTTCGCAAGGGATCTCTGGGTCTTCTGCACGCCTGCGCCGTCGTCGATTGTCATGGATGTCCAGCGAGCCAGGCCGGCAAACAGCTGTCCGAGTTGATACTCGTTCGATTCACCTGTGACCAGGACGTTGATGTCAAGCATGACCCGGCATCCGAAGCTGGGTATTGCAAAAATTCCTTGGTAAACATACAACCTCTCGCTATCGAATGGTATTATCACTCGGATGAAAGTCAGCTGCTGGTGCTCGAACCTCCGAGGGACGACTGAATCTTGGAATCCCTATTATTTCCTCGGACGTGCCCTTACTGCAGAAGCGCGATCCACTCTCCGCAGCGACCTCGGCCCTCACATCTCCGGATGAGGCCAACTCGGTACGCAGACATGTTCCTTAGTGTCGCCACGCCTCAATCTGGCGAATTGCCAAGTGGCTGCTGATATCGATTGATCGACATGTTATTCTTCTCTTGCTGCAGCGCGGGTGATGGCAGTGTCGTTTCGATGTTATTTATTTTTTATACTGCTGCCCACATGCACAAAGCCGCACGTACACGAGCGCGGAACATCGTACGTTCGGAGTGTGCAGCTGCTTATCGCCAATGCTCGATGACCATAAAAGACCTCGGAGAAAGCTCGCCCGTACAAACCCTTACTCGGGAAGGCATATGTTTACGCCGGAAAAAAAACTCCCCCTCACTCGGCGAGCCGATGGTCGCTCCTATCTCTCTTATCCCGAGTTCCTCCTCGGAGCCCGAGTCACTATTCTGCGCCTTTCCTTATCCCGAACGCGAACATGGGTTTGGCGTTCGTTCAGCATACAAACCCCGATCCACACGCGAGGCTCGCCAGGTGCGACACTGCGTACTTCAAAACCGATCGAATTCGCGATCCCGGATCCCAGAGACATCCTAGCGATCGACGATCGCCGACTGTTGCGACTCCGAAGCTCCGGGATCCGAGTCTCGACGAAACTAAGAAGTTTCAAGTCCCACCCGGACGTGGCGGTATTTCGACCGAACGTGACTTGCCAACAGTTCTTGACGTATTTCGAAGCAGGATCGATGATGCTGCAGCGGGCTGTCTGCGCCTCGTTGCGGAGAGCAGCGGTGAATAGTCCTTGTGATCCTCGGAAAGATCCGCGACGGCGATCAACTCCTGGAAACATGAAAATCACAGCAAGAGGGGGTGTCGGGATCGTGGGGAGGAAAGAGATGTCCGCCTTCGAAAGTTCCATTAGGTGGATAGAATTCATATTTACATGTACGAGATCAATTCGTTTTCGCAACAAGAGTTTATTGGTGATTCGCCCTCCCCAACATTCTGGTAGGGGTCAGTATATACTTTTGTTCGAAAATTCACTGAGCACAGAATCTGGGCCATCCCCAGTTCTCGGTATTTCCGAGTCGCGTAAAAAGTGATTTTCATGCTTACAAACTCATCCACTCCTCGAAGGCCATGTTTCACTTCAACAAATCCTCCGATCAATCGCGAATAGCCGGCCAGATCCCAGCGCACGATCCGGACAGCATCATGTATAAATTACTCCATTGGAAATTCTATGGGGAAGTCCGCCCTCCGATGGACTTCTCAAACTTCTTCTCATTCAATAAAGTTCCTTGAACCGTTCCATCAGCGTCACGGTACAAAGGGCAATCGGGAACGAATGTGCATCGATTGAGATTCGTACGGCCAGCGGCCTGTGGACTTGGTAGGATCATGCCTGCCTGGCCTTGAAATAGAAATCCGTCCCGAACCGGTTGAGATCTTCGATGACTCGATATCGGAACGACGGGAACAAAATCGACTAGATTTGGCATGAGCGCTACTGAGGAGATGTCTCAATAGGAAAATATCTGCGTCTCCTTGGACGCTCGCTCGTCAACGCACCATGAAGTATTTGCCTGCCCCTTTGGCCGTCCTTCCCGATCCGAATTATACCGCACCGCACAAACGAGCGCCGGACAGATTGCCCAACAGCACGCGCGCAGTCAACGACGAGGTATTGGGCGAGAGAGGCAAAAAACGACCGCGGAATCCCGCGCTCCACGAACGAATGAAACTGTCAGAGCTTGACGGCTGATTAACGGATGTATAATGAAGTTTCAGTCGAGGAACGAGCGCACCGGAGTCTCTCGTACGACGAAGGCCGCGCCCAAGTGAAACAACGAGAGGAACTCATCGCGGCGGAAGGGCGAGCCTGAAGGAACTCGGTTGCGTCTCTCCATGACGGAAAGGAATTTTCTCACTCAGAAACCTTTAGAATCGAGCATTTATCCGTCGCATGAAGAGTTGACAGCGAGGGCTTCAACTTCCGGCACGTCTCAGTCCGCTCTCCCCTATCGGTACAGCGACTGGGCGGCAACGCAGGAATTTATCCTTCCCCGCTCGCTCGCCCGGTCGCCATCTATCATTTCGGGAAGCTTCGAGGTCGCGAGAGTTCGTTCAGGATTACGCCCTTACACCGCTGCCGGGAGAATTTTACTCGAAATTCCGTGGGGGGTCGTTGCGTCTCCTCGTCCGTCGTGCGTCACCTTATTCTTCTTCTTCCAGCAGGAGAGACACAGCTGTAGAGGGATCTCCGGCGAGGTCTGCGGCGTGAACGACCGATGCGCCAGTGGAGCTCCATTTGTTTTACAGAAACAAAAATCAAAGAGAGACATTATGTATCCAGGCGATCGATTCGGGCTTTCTTCGAGTCATCGTGGCATCATTCGAAGTCGATACGAGATCTTCATCGAGTTGTTTACAGTGAGTAGGTTCCCGCCTGCCAGCCCAGTCTCCTCCACCGATATCTAAGCCCTGAAGAGAGCTATCACAAAATAGGAAGATGGTCCCCAATAATGGGTGACCAGTCTTTCTCTTCGATTCTCCCCTCCTTCTTCTCTCTTGTCCTCCTTCGTTCCTGTCTTCTTTCTTCATTTACAAAGTGTATAAACATTGAATGCACAAGTATGCAACAGACATCTCCGCAATGTGTAGACTACCAACTAGGTCTGTACAAATAGTAGTTCGTCGCTCGAGGCCTTCTCATAGAAACTTGTAGGCCGGTTCCCGACTCTGCTCTTCTTCGGGCTTCCACGTTCGAGGCGTGCAGACTTCTGGACCTGCCCACCAAGCGTGGATGTCGGGATAAACCTTCCGCGGGATGTCGTCATGCAGCATTGCACATAGTCTACAGAAGAAATACGTGTTAATCATTTCGCCTCTCCGACGACTCCGTAGATAGCTTTCCCAAAGCGATCGGTTGGCGGAGACTTTTTTGAGAAACTCAGCGAGTTCCTTGGTGGATCGGAAATCGTCGACGTGGATGAATGAATTTGTCGGGGACGAGCGCGCGTATTCGCTCTTACGGGCGCCCATCACGATCGGCACGATGCTGTGGTTGAGGCCGTTGACGAAAAACTTCTCGGTGATATAGTCTTTGCAGTTCGAGTTCTCGAACGCCAGGTAGAACTTGTAGGTGCTGTCGAGCATTTCGAAACAATTTCGATTGTAGCGGGGACATTTCTTCTGACTACACGCGCCGAAAACATCGACGTCGATGTAGGCCCCCAATTTACGCGCAAACTGCAGACGTCCGTTGCGCGCGTTGCAGTTGGATACGAACCACGCGACATTCTTCGTCCTCCTCTCAAAATTCGTCGCCGTCGCGCCGGCGGCGCCGTCCTCCTCCTCTAGTGGGGGGTCCTCCGTGACGTCCGGGAACGGGACCCATTTCTCGTAGGGGGCCACGATGTCGCTGTCGTGTCGGTATGTTGCCGTCCAGTTGAACACTGGGCCTAGGTCCCGGAATCCCGGCGTGTGCATGGGGCACTCCAGCAAATAGAGGATATACACTTGGTCGGGTCGTCGCTTACCAGGTGGGGCCAGGTACCTGTCGAACGGGGAAGAAAAATTCAGCACCGTAAAAACAATCAGTCATAATCTGAGCAGCGGAGAGCCAACGCCCGCGGAGTGAAACGTCATTAGCGTCGGAATTCCGGGACAAGAGAGGCCAAATGCCTCCGCGGAAGCGGTTCGGAATTTTCGGCCCCACGGACCCCAAAAAGGGGCGATTCCATCAGCTCTTAATACCGCTCTCGGAGAGGGAGGACGTGGGGCTGAGGAGAAATCCTCTTAATTACGCTGCCGCGGACGTTCCGCGCTCGTGTCCGAGAACGTCCTCGGACAAGAGCGCGATAATACGATGCGGACGGATCGTACCGACCTGTCTTTGAAAATGAGGGCGTCCGCCTGCTCGTGGTCATTTGTGATCGAGCATCTGTTCACGGGACAGTTGTCCCGGAGAAAAACGTCCTGTCCCAGAGGAATCGAGCCCCAAGCGGCTTGTTTCAGGTAGATTTTTTCAACGGTCCCGTCGTGTTCAGAGGCATGAACATCAACTGCTCGACGATTCGATCGCTGTCCGGATCTTCATGAGGCCACAAGTTTCCTGGAATAAAGACTCGTTTAGTCCCTCTTGTTCCGTATTCAAAACTTCCGGCGGACGAACGGCATGGAAGAGTCGAGTGGTGTCGTTTCCATCACAGCGGAACTCTGCTAGGTCAGTCCTCGGATATCCGTCCGAGCTGAGCGTCTCGACCCTGGACGTGACACGCACAGTCGTGGAGAGAAAGTGCACCGTCCCTGCGACCGGCGGGGAACTTATCGTCCGCGCCGAGGGACGACCGGAAGAATGAGAATTCGTTTTGAACAGATGATCCCTGCCGAATGGTTACGGATTGCCCGACCTGCGCCGAGCTCGGGGAAGACTGCGACGTCGGACCTGATATCAGACTTGACAGAGTCACGGCACATTAGACACATCCGACCGAGAACCTAAATGGGAGCTCGACCGGCCCACGACGATGGTCGTCGCGCGCACGAACGAGAAAATGTTCCTTTGAGAAATGCGATGAGAAATCCCTCCGTTGGACTCTGTCCTAGAGGGGAGATAGATACCATCTACCCGGCGGAACTTCTCTCGCTCACGCGAGCGTGACCGGCCGAGCGTGTTGCCATGCAAGTCAGGTTCTTCTGACTGTCGACGACGAACTCTACTTCTCGGCCGTTGCGCTCCCCTCATACCAAGAGGCGAAACAACAGTGTCCATGCTCGAAGTCATGGTCGCAACGTGCTCTCACGCGAGAAACTTTTCGGGGAAGAATCTCAGAGCATCCCGGCGAATCGTTGTTTCATTGTCTGCTCCATCCTACTCGATGACTTCTCCCCTTCGACACAGACCGATCGTGGTTTCCGCCGCACGGTGTTGCTCTCCGATCGATCGAATCAAGTGCACCCTTTCGACGAGCTCCAATCACAACCTCAGCGCACGCTGTCGCGGCCTCCGAAGGTAGACCAGGCGAGCGATTACGCATTCCTATTAGGACAACGACATCGATCGTTATCGCGCGATCAGATCGAGTCCCTGATTTGCACATTTTCGGCAACTCTTTTCGATTCTTAGAGAAGTTCTTTTCCGCGAGTAACCGGGCGGGTTTCGTTCCCTCCACAGACACCTGGGAACATGAGGTTTCGTACTCCGGCCGAGACTCGATAAATGCAAATATCTGAAGACGCTCCCAGCGACCTCAATAATCCTGGCAGTATCTCGAGAAGGACGAGAAATGGATGTGCGTCGACGCTATTATCATTTTATATTATCTCCGATATGTTGGAGCGAGAAGAGTCTCAGCTCACGCTCCACCGCATGATTCTCGTAAGCACGCACTCCCGGACGGCGGACTCGAGCTTTTGGAGCAGCTGTGCTGGCAGTGGAGCTGACGAACGATACCATTTGCCCGCTCGGGAAACTTTCCCGAGTCCTCCCGTGATTCTCCTATGATATTTCCCAAAGCCAGTGGTGCAGGTACGCCGAGTGTGGAGGCTCTCTCACGTGAGATTGGCAACGAAAGAGTGCTCGAAGGATATTTGCGAGTAGAACTATAAAAGCCTAAAAGCGGCCGACCAATAAAAGTAAAAGAGCTCAACTCGCTCCAACTCGCAGGTCGCTCAGTGTCGAGGCTCCGACCGAGCGACACAGGAAGTACAGTCTCTGAGCTTGCGGATGTCTTTTGCATTCGCATGGGGCGATTTTTCATTGCGACCATGATCAGTCGTCGAGCCGACTAGCGAGCGGAGAGCTTCTTCTTCCTCCATGACGGAGACAGCTGCCCAACTCCTCCGGCGGTCTGCTCACTGAGAACCCACGCTCCGATGGGTCCAAGGGAAGCACTACGGAGTCTCTGTCTTGAGCAACGTCGGGACCGCTTCTCGGAAGTCCACCACTTCATCCTCGGAGCCGCTATTCCAGGTTGAAACTTGGATTCCATCCAATGGCGGTGAAATTCCGTAACAACGAACACCATCAGCAGAGAATTCCATCGAAACCAACGAGAAACGCAGTTCAGATCGGCTAGAGCCCCGCGGGGTGTACCGTCGCAAAACCTCGCAGAACGCCGAATGAAGCATATGACAGACGATCTCCATCACTAGGAAGTATCTTCGAACGAAAGACGAGCGTCAACCAATTTACTCAAAACTGTTGAGTCAACAGTGCATCCGAAAAGGAAGATGTCCCCATGGGAACGAAAACGCGACACCGAACTAGCGAATTCCTGGAAAATACGCGCCGAAGGATGTCATTATGAGCACCATCAAATAACATTGTGGCGAAAGTACGTCGAGACGTGCCTGGTTTGCCTTGTGCTCCACGTCACGATTCCATTACGAGCATTGAGCTGGGACAATTTAGTGACCCTCGCTCATCTCGGGAAAGCGATCCTCCTCTTTGTTCTTGCTTTGATTCTTGTTCCCAGAAGATTTCCATCTGTTTGTTACGAGCGGTCCGAAAGCACTGAAAGCATCATGACAGATGCTGCTGCTACGGGAAACAGCGTCCTGGATTCGCCAAGAAAACGGGACGGTCGGAGTGTACCGAAGGATGGGAACAAAGGGGGAACAACTCAGTTCGCTGCTGTGTGAAGTCGTACATTATGCAAAAGACGTTCTTGCCTTCCATTCTGCGACGACGACTACGGCGACGCCGCCGCCCACCGACTCGGCTCTCGCTCCGACAAGGTTGTGCCGGATCACAGGAAAACTCGGATCTGGAGATCTTCCGGGCTTTTGTTATCATCCGGTGCCTCCGAGGATTCGGCGGCCGTAACGGCCGTGAGTGATTGTTCACCGTCCGCTCCTCGTCCAGAGCTGCAGTCGCCGAATTGAGCACCCGGCACGATACAACTCGTTCCCTTTCTCTAGCTCCTCCTGGTCCGATTTCTTTTCCTCGCGAGCGGATCTCGACACCGAGCCCCGGCTCGGCCCCCGTCGGCCGTGCCGCTCCGGAGCAGACATGTGACCGATCAGACGAGTGACTGTTCTTTCCAATCCTCGGACTCGGGTACGGTACAAACGTTTCGAAGCGTTCCGTCAGCTATCACACTTTGGATTGCTATTAGAACCTGGATGGGGAAGCTCGCGGTCGTAGCGTAACGACTTCGCAGCCTGTATCCCGTATCTTCTATCGTCCTTTTGAATAAATCGACCCTTTCAGATTCGGAGCGCTCCGGCCCCTCGGCTATCGGTCTTGAGGTGTGAATAATCGTGAGAGTTTCACGATCGGAGGCTTCCGGGTCCGCGAGTAGTAAATGTTGCAAGAGTTCCCTAATTGATCGATTGCGTCCCGATTGATAGAGATCGAGCCGGAGTCCAGTTCCATCGTTCGCGACATCGGCTTGCGAGTATTCACTGACTTTCGATGAATCAAGCACAGGCTCCGCAGAACTCTGACGCGATGTGTGCATATGTTCTGCCTAGATTTTATCAACGAAGCGATTTCCGGATCGGTCCGAGACGGAAAATGGCTTCCTTCCTGCGCCAAGTTTCCTGCTCCGGAAGGGTCAGACTCCATCGAAGGTCCGATTCTCACGGAGAACGCCAGAGGAACTCATACGCAGCCGTGTGGAAGGCAAATACCCTCATCTTCGCTCAGATAGTCTCTGAGAGGCAGAACATTGAACCGTTCGAGCATCCCGGCGTTTCCCTCAGAGTTTCGCCTCCCATCTCTTTACGACGATGCGTCTTAATTCCCTCAGCCGTTCTCGGGGAGCAGGAGCAACTTCCGATTTCATTTGCGACTCCTTCCCGACGGCGCCGCATCACTCGCATCCAACTCGAAGCTCGGTACGATCGCTGAGCGAATCTCGGGGACAACTCCTCCGGAATGCCATGAACCATCCCGAGGCGAGAGGAGCAACACGCAGGCAATAACAAACAGCTCATTGCGATCACTGTATCGCCCCTCTGCGAGATCTCGATCCTAGGGGAATTCTCATGCACGACGTTGCTCTCTCCGACCGCTCCGGTTCCTCTCCCCGACGTTTCTCTTCGAGGAGAACGCATCTCATCGTTGAGTTCAGCACTTTCATGCGCTTGTCTCAGACTCGGAGAGCTGCACCGCGCCGAGAATTCCCCCTTCCGGCGACACCGACGCCAGCGCAAACAATGAGCCGCACCGCGCGTCACAAGGCCCTCCTTTGAGCTCCACACCGTCCATGTCGAAAGGGAGAAAGCGACGGTGTCATGTCGCCATAAGGGTTATTCTTCCGCGTCAAGAAAGATTCTGAACGCGGTCTCGGATGAGCGAACTGCCCGCAAAGAGGTTCCCTCGGAGGGAGCGACTGTCCCGAGCTCGCGGACCAGCTTCCTTCGCTCCGTGGGACCAGGTCTCCTCAAGGAAAGAAGCGTGTAGCATACGTTTATTTACGAACGTACACAGAGGCGGGTCGGAGATCAAGGAACTACCCGCTGTGATCTCGCGGAAATCCACCAAGTCTCTGGCTTCAATCTCGTTCCGAATAGCTTTCAAGTATTGCAACGGTTGCTCGGAGTATATGATGAAGTCGCGGGTATAAAGGCTCGCACGCGGCCGACCATGGCAGGAAAGAAGTCCTCCTTCGAAAGTAATGTGATTGAGCGGCGCAAAAGCGAAATGGATTGACGGATGAAAGTACGTACAGTCGGGTCCGACATGAGCAATGTAAGGGTCGCTCTGATGGTAAGGATAGGGAACGAAAGGAAAAAATATGACCAATTGCCCGGAGGGAACTTCTTCAATGACGAAGCCGCGAGGAACATCCGATTGAGCCCGAATCGGACGGTGGTCAGTCTGATTGCTTACTGAGTGAGACCCAGGCAAGCCGCCATTCGGATGCTTCAGTTTCCCTCTCAGGAAGTCGCACGGAGCACTTCCGGGACGGCGACGGTCTCCTTGAATGGGAATGAATATCCATCCAAGTCCTTGCAGCGTAAGAGGTTTCCCTCGCAAAGAACAGGTAGGTACTCAATGTTGACATGGCTGCCGAAGTCGGGCTAACAATGAGCCGGCATGAGAAACCTCTTTTCATAGAAGATCAAGATCTCTCCTGCGGTGAGCCCAGGCGCGTTTCTCGTTTCTCCTATATGTGACACAGGTAATACCCCGGCTTGGAGACGGTTGCGTCGCATTTCTGCCCAACGTGTGGAATAGTCAACGAGACGGGTCTTTATTTGAGGCACCCGAGCCCGGACACTCGGAGGGACTCCGCTAACCGCAGCGCTTCCTGAGCCGCTCCGAGCGGACGCATGAACGGACGGCCGCTCGGAGCTATCGCGTTGCCGTCCTCAAGCAATCTATCAAGTCCCGACTCGTATTTGGCCAAATGAGCACCACTAAGTGGCTGGAGAAGACGCAGCGATTCATCCACGGAGCTTCACAACGCATGTAATGGAGAGCCAGAACAATCAGCCCTGCCAGGTCTGGTGGAGGAACGTTTCCGCAGTTCGATCGTGCCGCCGCCACGTTAGTCAGTCAGCCGAGCGGCTAACCGACCGACCCACCAGCGAACCGCCCTCAATGGAGCGAACAAGCGCTTGCGGACCGAGCAAATGATAAACTCCCATCTTCCCCTGAGAGAAGCGCTTCCTTTCTTCCACTGCGGAGGACAGCATCTCCCTTTTCATGTTTCTGTCCTCGAGACGAACCCGGGAGGATTTCGCGCCCTCCGCGCCAGAACCTCCAGCTGGCAGGACTCGGCAGATGCTCTTCCGTCGATTTTCTAGAATCAGCGACCTTCTGAATTCCAATCACAGAATGAGCGGGAATTGATTTTAAAGATTCGAGTCTTGATAACATCTGGGAAACAGGCGGAGGGCTGCCCCCTTCCTTTCTGACAATGCTAAGAGATCTCTCTAGCTCCCGAGGATTTTCCAACAGTAACTATTATCGTAGCCAATCATCGAAAGAGGAGAAGACCGTATTTCTGAATTGACCTCAAGATGAATCTTATTTCCCGAGATTTCCAATATCCCGTAGAAAGCTCACCACCTCCCAGCCTCCATCGTTTCTGCTCGTTCGGTCTACGTTCCGTGAAAGGCCCGCTGGCCCGGAGCAGAATACACAACCCCTTGTTCGGAGAATGTCGATTTGCGGATAACGGGCATGGATCGGGAAATCGCAAAAGTTCCGAACAGCGGAAGCTTGTTCGCCCACATCCGGCATTCGATCATACACAGAGCCACTGCGTTACGCACGGAACTTCGGTGCTCTCGGGTCCGCATTTCGAGGATTGGGCCAGTCTCGGGAGGGAGAAAAGCTCCTAGGTCAAAAGCTTGGAATGTTTCCCACTTACCTCTTTCGCCCGGCAAGGGACGCTTCACCCCATTGTGAAAGAACCAAGGCCTTTCTGCGATTTCCTTCGAGTTCGGCTGCTTGTGGTTCTGTTCCTTGGTGTGATCCCGTTCCTCGTTCGACTTCGGGAGACCTGAGCGGGCTTTCGAGAGCGGACTCGATGGAGAAACTTCCTGCTGTTGTTCTGGCTTCACATCGAGCGGAACGGGAGGCTCCACCAGGTTCGCGTGGAACGTCGGGACCACGAAGTACAGGTACGCACCACAGAACAGTAGCGAAGTCACCAGCAGCACCCGACGTAACTTTTTGAAAGTCAGCATCTTTGCCGGCTTCGCCTGAAATAAAATTCCGTTCAGGAACGCTGCGCATGACCGCGTCGATGAACCCTGCCATCGGACACCTTCAATCGTATACCATTACGGAGACGGGAGTGAACATGACGCCGAGCAAGCGTGAGCCGGAGGAGCCGCCCATCCCAGCGCGGCCTAACTCCGAGGCAAGAATCCCCTTGAGGGCTTATGCTATGCAATAGTTCCCGCAAGATTCCAGGGGGTCTCCCGGGAGTTTCCGCAAAGGTTTCAGCTGAGATTCCCATGCCGGCTCCACCGCTGTGACTGCCGGGCTGCTCCTCGTCAGGGATTTCGTCAGAGCCGTCCACCAGCAACATTTCCGGGGAATTTGATTCGCGCTCCGACTCCGCATGGAGACTATATGGAATCCGTCGACGGGAGAAATATTGGGTGCTGTCCGGGACTGTGACGCTCCACCAAGCCCAGAAACGTAGGTATGTATAATCATATGAACAAGACAAATCGAACATGCTTGATGCTTTCAGAGTGTCAAATTCGTCAATGCTGCCTCAAAACCGAAGTCTTTCAAGCTCAGTCGACAGCTGAGGATGACGCAGTGGGCCAGATCAATGCAAGATCACCTAAGCACCAATCCAACCATGGGTAAAGGATTTGTCATTGGCTTGGGCGTCTACCGAAGCCTTGGCGATTTATACAAGCTCACCTAGAGCTCCTGCTGCCATGCCGTCTGGAACTCTATAATGTCCGCTCTGTTCAAGCGGCAAGTCTGATTCTCAGATTCCCCCCATGCAGAGAAAGTGAGAATCTGCCAAAGTGGAGATACGGTGGGGCATTTCGAAGCGGCAGGCCCCGAAGAAAAAACTCTGACTGATGCTAGGATGGGGCCGGATCCTCAGGACCGAAGGGAATTCCCGATTTGGACAAGCTGAGCTCCGGGCGCTCATGGGTCCGAGAGTTTTGGTTCCGAATGCGGACCACCGATATCTGGCAAAGTTGTCCGCCAGACAATGGGGAAAGCCTGCCTTTCTACGCGCCTCCGAGCCTGATCGCGTCCCGCATCACCTTCCAGCCCCGTCGATATCGTACAGACGAAACTTCATTGTGTGGAACCGTGGCGTGACAAGCTTACAAGGCGACTGTGACAGAAATCCAAAGCGTCGACCTACATCACGACGGTGTTAATGGCTAACAACTGAATCCGCGAGCTGCTGAGGGATACTTCTCCACCATGAAGGCAAACGCTTCCAAAGTTCGATTCCGAGCATTCTCAGCTGAGCGTCGGGTAGCGCTGAGTCTGACCGGGACGGCAGAGAGGACTTCTAATGTTGCTTGTACGCCTCCGCAGAATTCGGATGATTATCGAGCTTCGGTCAGATAGCGGGCTCTACGATTCAGACCCACAGAATTGACGCAGGGTGTCGTTCGACTGTGCGCGGAAGACAGAAATCCATAAACTACGGAATCAGATGTCGATTTAATGTGATCATCGAGCCCCCTCAGATCACTGAAACTCAGCGCGACTTCAGCGCGACTCCGAGCCGCCTTACACCGACGTTTCGGAATAACCCAGGTACGGCCGCTGCCGCGTCACCGGAGTCCGAATTCTCGTGCGGATTGGTGGGCCATCGTTCGGACTGATCCGAACAGATTTCTATGATTGACGTCCAACGTGAACTGGATTGCTATTCTGCTCTGGACGTCAGGTATGATGCACGAGTGAGCTCGGCCGGACAAATGGAGACAATTTACGCGTATCCCGTAGGCCGACACAATGGAACGTTCGAAACAAAAGCCTCGTTAAATCAGACAGTCGAGCTCCCTGAAGTTTGAGCCGGATGAAAGTCTCCGACAGCCCTTATAGTCAAGCATGCATGACAAAGTCGCCAGGGAACCGCTGAATTTGGATAATCATCCAAGTCAAGATATGATTGTCGCCTATTGGAATGCGACGGATTTCCTGGCCCATATATGCTCGGATTGCAGTTCAGCCAAGCGTCGGTTCGATTCGGGATCACCCCGATTCTGGTCGGATCCAGCCACTTCCCCTTTCGGTCACTCGATCAGTCTCCATGAAGCAATCGATGGCAAGAAGACGTCGAATCGACAGCGATCAGTCGCCGGAGAACTCCTGTGGTTCACAGGAGCAAGCGACAGCTCTCTTGATTAAAGTCAATTGAAGAGACGCCACAGACGGGCGGTCGGACTGACGTCGACGGAGTGACTGACTAATCGCTTCCCAAGCTAGTGGGCCGTCTACGCGAACCGCCGCGCTGCATACCCAAAGCGACAGACTGAGTCCGCGAGATCGTTTGTTGACATTCCGGCGAACAATACTCCTCAGTTTCCGAAGAATCGCGACGCAAGCACGAGGTTAGATTCGATATCCGTATCGGATTACTTCGGAAGCGTTCAAGGCTTTCGAAAACATTCTGGCAGAGCTCGGAATCGTCCTTCCGACTGCGAGAAAGGATCCGGCCTCTGGATTATAGAGAACATCGGTGGAATGAATACTTCACTTTTTTTTCAGATCCACAGGCAGAAGAAGAGCCCAGTGAGACTCGAAAATCGCAGCCAAGCAAAGAACTGAACTTATGCTGGTCTGTCATCTTACCGAGGCGATGATCTCCCTGGAGAAAACATCACTGCAGTCCCGGATGATTTCCGAAACGGCCCGAGTAAATATCCGAATCCATCATCGATCTGAACAGAGTCGACACTTTACGCATAACTGCGCGTAGCATAATAACTCTCGTAGTTCAGCTAGACCCATGTGGAGAGGGTTCGAATAGGAGAGATCTCCACTATGCGTGACACGCCACGTCAGGATGCCGAGTGATGATTCGGAAAGATGTACCACACTTGACAGACTCAATTCGGAGTCTTCCTCAAAGGCCACGCTCTGCTTAGACAGAAAAATGTGGCTTTCGAGTTTCTGCGACCCGGAACGTGGAGCCCTTCGATCTCAAATTCACGTGCGGTTTTTGGAATAGCGAGAGTAATCAGTAATTATAAGGAGACCTCGTGATAGACTCTTGGGAATAGTCCCTATTTCGAGCACTCGAACGAAGAGCTCGCTCGGTGGCCGAACCGCCGCGTCGCTCAGATCCGAAACTTCGACAGGAAGATCGTATCGCTCGGCAACGCATGGCGTGACAATAGGTCCGAGACAGCGTACCGGATAGCAGTACAAATGAGTTCAACGATTTTCGATTTGAATCAGCTGAGGATCCACATCCGGTCCAATATCCTCGATGGCCGGTCCAATCAATGGCTTGACCGTTGAGTCCGGCCGCAGCTCCGGCGGTATTTTCGCCGCCACGAACATCATTGACAGCTTTCTAGCGCTCCGAATGAGGAGTTTCCGGTGCAAACGCGTCGATAAGCCAATGCGACAGGCGAGATCGACGCTATTGTCGCTCCGAAAGCTATTACACAATGGATACATATCTGTCAATTTCGGATTGCGTCTGCTATTAGGGATCCAGACCGAGACGAGTTCGGAATTCACGGTGAGAGCTTCGTCATTTTCCGCGGGCGACACACGGGTCTGATGGGAAAGCGCCAGAAGATCATTTTGGCCCTATCGCGGATCCCGAGAGCGAACACCATGGAACAGGTGTATCACCCGCGTAAATGGCTGATTCTGAGCCACGTGACCCGAGCCTCCTGATCTCACTCTCCTTGGGCCGACTTACATTGCTCCACCGATGAAGCACTACAGTCCTGAGCAGGTTCCTAGGGAATTTCTTCGTCGAAACTGGAATCCATTTGTTGGCAGCTATCAGCGTTCCATATCAGCTGCGAGGTTTTCACAGGAGTGAGCGTTGTCTGCTCAGGACGACAACACATCAACCGCGGTCGGGAGAGGGTCAGGACGAAGGAGGGAAGAGGGGAGGAAGGAAGGACTACAATCCTCCCGAGGTTCGAATCCGGGGCGCGAGCATGCGCTCTCCTGAATCACTCGCGAAACGAATGCTTCCTCGCTGTACTCCCTTTTCGTGGACGGCTTTTTCCAGGAATGGTTTCTCCCTATCCGACGCGAAGTTCTCGTCTCTATCTGACCCATGCGACCTTCCTATAATCCCTCGGGATCAAGCCCGGGAGGAGGCGCCGCAACTTCGGCGGCCGCTTAGTTCAGAGCGATGGCTGAAGACCTTGATACGTTTTGATGCGTTATCCGACCTTTGAGTGTCTGTGCGACGATTCCAATCGAAGTATGGATTCCCCATCTGTTCGGGAGGCTCGGGTTCGGCTTCGCGTCATCGGCTGCGGAATTCCGCGTGCTGCTGACTTTCGCCAGTTTGTTAGACAGGTGGACGGGCGGAATATCTAGGTTCCGGTATATCAGCTCCACGACTCGTCTCGCGGGCATTCACTTACGCGAGAAGCCCTGACTGAAGCGGTGTAATACATATGTAGTCGCTTGCTGTAATCGTCCGAGAGGGGAAATTTCGTCAACAACAAGTTCCGCGAGGTCGAGGCATTGTCATTTGAAAAGATTTAGTCTGCTGCGGGATAGACTTTCTGGCCGGGAGTATTCTAACGATGCATCCCCAAGGTTGGGATCATGCACGAGGCCCCGTTCAAGATCGTGGCCTTGGAAGAACAACAGGCACCGTTTCGGATGGCCTGTGCTCCGTATCGAAGACGACGATCGGAGGACCGTGGCACTCACCTAGGTGATGAGCGCAGATGCGAGCGGCTGCTGCTGTCTTCTGCTGCGCCAGGCACGTTGCGTTTACATCTAGTCCTCCTGACAGGAGAAGATAATTGTGGCTCCGATTTTTCTTCAAATCTCTATGCGCTGCCCTTGTCGATGACTTCTCTTGCTGGGCATGACCAGATTTTATTGTTATCACCTCCGGAACGCAGTCAGAAGAGCTGCTCTCGATTTTCGGCCGAAAGCGTTGTAACTACAGCTTCCACAGAACCTCATCCTCCGCTCCTTCTGGCCTTATCTTGTCGGTCTGAGAGGCAGAAAAGTCTTCACTGCGAGAATACAGAGAGACAGGCTCTGAGCTGCTCTCAAATGCAATATGGAATTCACTCAAGATCATGCTGCTGGTTTTTTCTCGAGTCTGTGACTCTCGCAGCGGGACCGGTTCAGAGACTTAGATCTTCGAGGCTCTTCGTGTTGGAGGACCTCGATGGATTCTCAAGAGGTATTTGAGGCGGAGGAGGCTTCACACTTGACAGACTGATTTTCATCGGGAAGCCTGTCGATCGCCCGACATCTACGTGCCGTCCTCGATTCTGATGGCGCCATCGCTGCCGGAAAGCGTAAAGTGGAGCCTTTTCCCAGTCGTCTCCGGGAAGTGTTATCGGAAAGCGGCTGGCAGACAAACCCGAAGAATTC